GCTGTTCAATTAAACCAATATATTCATGTGGTAAAAATTCCAATAGCTAGGTCAATATACAGTATTCAAGTACTCTGCTTCTATCACTGTGCTTATGTTACTTTAGAAAATGGCACCTAGGATCCTATGTCACTTAGGCACTTTTGAAAATTTTATCCTTGGCCTACTTCTGCTCCTGTTGAAGTCATTAGCCAGCATTGCAAGACATTTACATGCCAGATGCGCTAAAGATTCATATGTCCCTTCATGCTTCAACCACCATTCCAGGGGACATGCATCCATGCTGATGATGGGTTCTGCTTGATAAGAATCCAAAGCAGTGCGGACTGACGCATGTTCATTTTCATCATCTGAATCAGATGCCAGCAGACAATTGATTTTCTTTTTTGCTGGTTCAGGTTCTGTAGGCTCCGCATCAGTGTGTTGGTCTTTTTAGACTTCTGAAAGCATGCTCCATACCTTGTCCCTCACAGATTTTGTCCTTCAGATTCTTAAACCTTGGGTCGAGTGCTTTAGAAATTTCACATTGGTAACTTCTTTACGTTTTGTCAAATCTGCAGTGAAAGTGTTCTTAAAACGAATAACTTGTGCTGGGTCATCATCCGAGACTGCTATAACATGAAATATATGGCAGAATGGAGGTAGAGCAGGTTCGCCGTTCCAGGCCAATGGGGGCTGCGGGAAGCAGTGTGGGCCGAGGGATGTGCTGGCCGCCACTTCCCGCAGCCCCCATTGGCTTGGAATGGCAAACCGTGGCCACTGGGAGCTGCAATCGGTCAAACCTGCGGACGCTGCAGGTAAACAAACTGGCCTGGCCCGCCAGCAGATTTCTCTGACAGGCCGCGTGCCAAAGGTTGCCGATCCCTGATCTAGTAAATGGTCTAACTGGTTGTGGTATTTTGAGTAAAAATAAAATGGCTGAGCTATTAAATTTCAAAAAAAGGGGTTACTGTTTATGCAGAGTAACAACAATTTAAAGAAATTTTTATGGTGCGCTTAAATAGATATATAAATGATGTTTATTAACATAGATTCAATTGAAACATGCATTTTAAATGTCATAAATGCATACACTAATTGCATACTGCCAATATACAGTGGCCACCATAAAAAGTTAGCACCTAGTGACAGTTGTCACACCACACAATCTGACATACTGTAGTTATTTCCTTTTCGACCTGTTGGGGAATGCTGAAATTTTAATTGATTGAAATGGCTTTTTAAACACCCACATGAATGTTTTGGTTTGTGTTTAAAGGACCATATATACAAAAGCTGACATTTAAATTAATTTTCAGAGAAATCAATAAAATACAGGTCTGCAAAGATAATGTGGTTTGGCAGCTGTCCATAAGGGCTGACTGTTTTTAACGGAGACCACAGTATATTGATAATATGCAACCCAGTCCCATCCCTAACAAAAGAGCATGAGACACAATGAGGCTATTCATGTGCATAAAACTAAATGTGTGTGTGAGTCTTTGCAGGATCAGGGCCTTCTTGGGATTCTGGATGTTGTTTTGCAAAGCACTGATGCACATGCATAATTTTAAATACATGCCTACATGTTTTGCTAGATGTAGGGTACAGTACTCAGAACCTTGCAGAATCAAGCCCTTGCTTATCTAAGATTAATGGCAAGATTTTCAAGAACATCACACCAGGTCATTGTTAAAATAAAACAGCACAATGTCCCATCCCAGCAAAAGTGAATGAGTTAAGACAGGCATGTTTATTTGAGCTCTGAATTGTGTCAGTTTCTTTTGAAAGGTTAATTAAATGTAAGTTTTGTGTTTATATTCCTTTAAAAACAAACCAGATTTTCACAGACTTATTTTTTTCTGATCTAAAGTTGTTCCAGTCATTTAAGAAGTTCAGTGGGGCTACTTGTAAGTGTAAAGCTAAGTCTAAGTAAATCATGGTCCAAATGTTTGCAGTTCGATAACCCCTATATTTGCAATATTAAAGTTATTCCCTTGTAGTAACTAACTGAGAAGTACACTGGCAACTGAGAAATACAAGTGAATGATGCAGATACTGCAGTAGCCTTAGGTAAAACTGGCAATGGACTTTCACCCTTGAAAGTTTGGGAAGACTGCTGATCCCTTTCAAGGATGATTGGGCAACAAAATGGCAAATGAAATTTAGTGAGGAAAAATGTAAAGTAATGCACATTGGAAAAAATAACCCCAACTATACATACAATATAATGGGGGCTAATTTAGCTACAACTAATCAGGAAAGAAATCTTGGAGTCATCGTGGATAGTTCGCTGTAGATGTCCGCACAGTGTGCAGCGGCAGTCAAAAAAGCAAACAGGATGTTAGGAATCATTAAAAAATGGATAGAGAATAAGATGGAGAATATCTTATTGCCCTTATATAAATCCATGGTACGCCCACATCTTGAATACTGCGTACAGATGTGGTCTCCTCATCTCAAAAAAGGTATACTGGCATTAGAAAAGGTTCAGAGAAGGGAAACTAAAGTGATTAGTTTCAGAGTAACAGCCGTGTTAGTCTGTATTCGCAAAAAGAAAAGGAGGACTTGTGGCTCCTTAGAGACTAACCAATTTATTTGAGCACCTTAGAGACTAACCAATTTATTTGAGCTACAGCTGAAGCTCACGAAAGCTCATGCTCAAATAAATTGGTTAGTCTCTAAGGTGCCACAAGTCCTCCTTTTCTTTTTGTAAAACGATTAGGGCTTTGGAATGGGTCCAATATGAGGAGAGATTAAAGAGGCTAGGACTTTTCATCTTGGAAAAGAGGAGACTAAGGGGGGATATGATAGAGGTATATAAAATCAGGAGTGGTGTGGAGAAAGTGAAAAAGGAAAAGTTATTGACTTGTTCCCATAATATAAGAACTAGGGGCCACCAAATGAAATTAATGGGCAGCAGGTTTAAAACAAATAAAAGGAAGTTCTTCTTCACTCAGTGCACAGTCAACCTGTGGAACTCCTTGCCTGAGGAGGTTGTGAAGGCTAGGACTATAACAGGGTTTAAAAGAGAACTGGATAAATTCATGGAGGTTAAGTCCATTAATGGCTATTAGCCAGGATGGGTAAGGAATGGTGTCCCTAGCCTCTGTTTGTCAGAGGGTGGAGCTGGATGGCAGGAGAGAGAGATCACTTGATCACTTACCTGTTAGGTTCATTCCCTCTGGAGCACCTGGCATTGCCACTGTTGGCAAACAGGATACTGGGCTGGATAGACCTTTGGTCTGACCCAGTATGGCCAATCTTATGTTCTTATGATGGTCTTAAGCTCCTCTAAATGGCCGCTAATCTGACTGTAACTTTGACCATCTAAAATGTTGTTCTGGGTCATATCTTAGCATCTGTATCTACTTCCCCTGAAGTCAGTGGGAGTTTTGTCTGAGCAGGGATGGAAGGATCAGGTGCAAAATGTGTGTGGGAGATGTGCTATAAAATACTGTATAGTTTACCTTAAGGTGGGTATCCTGTTGGCTGTTGTAAGCCTATCTGCTGTGTCTGTTTTTAGGAAAGGGACATTGAAATGGCAGATGTTCTGTCGGGAAATAGGATTTGTAAATTAGGTACTGTATAGAGCAAGACAATTTTTTTTAAGTATGATAGGCTGTTTCAGTAAATCGTGTTTTGTAGTCTTTTATTCTTTTCAAACATTATTGCTAAACTCTTTTTCTATTTTGTCATATAAAGTGGGTTCATCCAGTATGTGACCCAGAAAATGCCATCTGGAAGCGAGGTCTTAGATCAAGAAAATTTATTAACGGGTAACAAGGAAGGTAGCAGTGCGGATGTCACTCAGATATCCATCATTGTGAGGAGTTAATATGTGTATCTGCATTTCATTCTAATTGATGAGTCTGTCTGATGTTTGAAAAGCATTAAATTGCTGATGCTCATGTGATGGAATGTCTATTGTCAAAGTATGGATGAAAACTGAGCCTCATCACTGCAGTCAGTTTAAAAATGATTTGTAGAGAATTGACTTTGAATGTTTGCATTAGAGGTCAGAGTTCCACTTAGAAGGCTCACACAGCTGTAGAAATGTCTAGAATTGCTAGAGTTATGTTTTACTATTAAGTAAATGCTTTAGGTAAGAATCCCAACTTGGCAGTAATTTTGATTCATTAAAATGGAAAAACTAACTGGAGCAAAGCAGCTGGGACACTTTCTAAGTAAATTCATCAGTCATTCAGAAACTATGCATTTTAATACCTGTAAATAATAGAACAGTCTATCCAAATGGAAGCCTTTTATTGATGTGTAAGTAAAGTTGAGTGTCACCCTCAAATTTCAAACTTTAATCAAACATTCCCTTGCCTTTGCAGTCAGACGAATAAAGCTATTTTATTTATATTTTCTTTAACGTTATTTTTATTTATTTGTTGTACTATCCATAAGACCTACAAGTCCTAGACATGTTCCAGGACCCCTTTGTATTAGACCCTGTATTTTACTTCAGCAGCATGATTGATTTAGATGTCAAGCTAAATGAAATCTGCATACAAAAATTGACATGCGCCATGTTCAAAAGCTCCAAAAAGTTATTGAAGTGTACTGCTAAATATTTGTTTTGGAAATTTTGAAAATATATCATTTGTACTCACTGGATTAATGCTATATTAGAGAACTATACAAATTAAAAATGCAGAAAAAACTGCAAGGACAACTTGTATGTTCCCTTGTTAGTACTGAAATATTCCCGACATTCTCATGCTTTTTAATATGTGATGACAGTTATTATTACTTTTTTTTAATACCACATGGAGATGCTAATAGAAATACTGACAGTATAATGGCACTGAGAAGAAAATTAAAGAAGGGAATGCTTAGGAAGAATGCAACATTGTGGACTCAATTTTTTCCTTTAAATATGGACACACAAAATCTCTCTAAGAGTGGTGAGAGTCACACACAATTGCACATGAAGACAGAACTGACACCCATGAATATTTAAATGCTTTCTATAGGCAACAAAGCAAACACTGCTTTTTGTCATTTTTTAATAGGTAAAAAGATGGCTTATCACAAAGTGAACGCAGACCAGAGAACACAGGGGCACTCTCAATACCTTGACAATGATGACCTCCAGGCCACCACGTTGGAACTAGAATGGGACATGGAAAAAGAGCTGGAGGAGCCTGGCTTTGACCATTTCCGACTGGATGGTACAGTCGATCACCATTCGGGAAATCCACAAAACCCCAACATTGATCTCGAGCCTATTCAGCCCTCGGCATCCCCTAAAGGAAGATTTCAGCGCCTTCAGGAAGACCCAGACTATGTGTCACATTATACGAGACCAGCACCAAAGAGCAACCGCTGCAACTTTTGTCGGATATTTAAACTATTTTGCACTGTTTTGACTTTATTTATTTTTGGAATTTTACTAGGATATTATGCACACAAAAAATGTCCTCCTTCCCCCACTCCTTCAGAACCAAGTGACCCTCATTTCTACCACGAGATTCTCAAGGAAATCAAAGCTGAAAATATTCAACAGATTTTCAGGTATGTACCTTAATTTATTTATTTTTTATTTTATTTATTGTTAGCACTGGTAGCTGATGTTTCTGATAGTATGTAAACACGTTCTTTTAATCTTTTGTTTCCTCTATACCAGTGGTTCTCAAACTAGGGGCGCCGCTTGTTCAAGGAAAGCCCCTGGTGGGCTGGGCCGGTTTGTTTACCTGCCGCGTCTGCAGGTTCGACCGATTGCGGCTCCTACTGGCCACGGTTCGCTGCTCCAGGCCAATGGGGGCTGTGGGAAGCGGCGTGGGCCGAGGGATGTGCTGTCCGCCCTTCCTGCAGCCCCCATTGGCCTGGAGCGGCAAACTGCGGCCAGTGGGAGCCACGATCGGCCGAACCTGCGGACGTGGCAGGTAAACAAACTGGCCCAGGGCCTGCTAGGGGCTTTCTGTTCTATACAGTATGTTGTTTGCAAACATTGAATTCTGCTGCTTATGTTCAAATTTCTCATGAAGTTTGTGACACTTCCATCAGATATACTTGTAAGGGACTTAGAATGATGCGCAAAAAATGTATAAAATTAATGCAGAACCTTGTTAAAAACAATACTTCCATAATGACCCAAATCTGGGCAGTGTTCCTATTGTAAAATGGGGGATTATTTTTGTAGGGAACATTATTTTGTTAAACATCGAAATGATTTTGGATGTGCACAGATTGACAAGTTCAGACCATTCAAAGCAAGTGCTGAGGCTGGCAGTCTTTTTATAGGTTTATTATATAAAAAAGGTCTTGCGTGGTAGCCATATTTATCAAATAGATCTCTAGATTCTGATGTAAAGGGTGTAATTATTTAAAAGCAAACAAGTGTGTATATGTACACAGACACTCTCCAGATATTTCAGTATTGATGCATGCAGGATTGTAGAAGCAAGGGTATAATGAAATATAGAGTAGTATCATCCTTTCGGATTCAGTCCTGCAGTTCTTGCTCACTCAAAACCAATGTCTCACGATATTTGGTGTTTTTCTGAAAGCCCTAGTTCCAGGAAACAGGTGATTACTTGGGAATCTTGGCTTACTTTTTTAAATATGAAAGATCCTATCCACATGGATGCAAAAGACAAGATTGAAAATATGAACACTGAAGGTCCCAAAACCAGTAGGCAAATAAAACGACTGACACATTTTTTCCCCCCAAATATCATGTTTTCAAAGCCGATATGATTTTGGGTGGCCTAGTTTATAACTTTTGACTTCTGAGGGTGGGCAATACTGCAAAACGCTTATTGAAACCACCGATTGTTTTATTGGAGAAGTAGCCATTGATCAAACTATTTATACCGGACACATCACTGTGGTATCAGAGTATGGGATCAGGCCTTATATGTTTGGAGGCTCTGACCATTTTTCTGCAGCTGTGAATGCTGAAGGCAGAAGGTTTTGCATAACTTTGATCCGAGCTCTGCATGTTACACCCTTGTGAAGCTGGACACTGGCAAGTCTGATTGCTGGTTTGCTGCACGATTGGAGCTTAGAAAGAGAGTCTGGACCTTATATAGAGAGAGCTTTACACAGATAGTCTGGACCATATGGAGAGTCTGAATGGGAATGTTTATACAGCTGTTATCCTGTTATTTGTTTAACCTGTTTAATTTTGAGGGGTTTGTCACTTTTATTTGTGGTAGTGTAACCCACACACCTCCTGGGTGTGGTGTTCTGTCCCACCTAGTGGCACCGAGATCACTTAGAGAGAGTTAAAATGAGTCTGCTCTACAGCCTTAGCTAAGAGCCAGTTGGCTTTTAGCTCATGTGGAAGAAACTCATGCACTAAACTCCGGAGGTCCTCAATTCAATCCCGCCTGCCAATGACCGGGGTCTGTTGGCATTACAAGTGGGAGCTTGTCCGGGATTTCAACTGGGAAGTCTCTGAAGCTCAGAACCAACTTCCTCAGCTAGGGAAAGTATGTAACCCCAGACGCCTCCTGGGTGTGGTGTTCTGTCCCATCTGGTGGCACCAAGACCACTTAGAGAGAGTGATAAAAGGAGTCTGCTCTGCAGCCTTAGCTAAGCGCCAGCTGGCTTTTAGCTCATGCGGAAGAGGCTCATGCACTAAGCTCCAGAGGTCCCCGGTTTGATCCTGCCTGCTGATGAGCAGGGTCTGTCGGCGTTACAGTAGCATCAGTCTTTTGATAAAGTATTACTGGACAAGAGTTCTGAGTGGCTGGCTATCAATTCTCTATCAGATATATATAAACACTGCTTTTAGTATGCATTATTACCCAAAAGATGGTCTCAGACCAAACTGTTGGCCTTAGAAAAACTGAGTTTTCTGTTTTGTAAACTGAATGTTTTAACAGGTTTCAGAGTAGCAGCCATGTTAGTCTGCATACTCAAAAAGAAAAGGAGGACTTGTGGCACCTTAGAGACGAACAAATTTATTGGAGCATAAGCTTTCATGAGCTACAGCTCACTGCATCCGATGCATGTAGTCAATAAGAATAGAAATCAGTCTAGTCCCTGTAAGTGGTTCCTTTTTTTAGCAGGACCAAGATCATCACAGATCCCTTGAAAGGCAAAAAATCACTGTAAAATCAACTATTTTGTTCCGTCTTCTCACTGCATTGTTCAGTGCCGCAGAAACCATGACAAATTATACTGGTAGAACCTTCTAAGTTGTCTAAGTATTAATTTGCTTAAACATTTTTATAATAGAAACATATTATGGGCCAAATGCAATTCTGATATAAACAGGCACAACTTCATTGACAACTATCAAATATTGTGACCCTCGTGGAACTAAAACCTGTTAGGTTTCAGAGTAGCAGCCGCGTTAGTCTGTATTCGCAAAAAGAAAAGGAGTACTTGTGGCACCTTAGAGACGAACCAATTTATTTGAGCATAAGCTTTCGTGAGCTGCATCCGATGAAGTGAGCTGTAGCTCACGAAAGCTTATGCTCAAATAAATTGGTTCGTCTCTAAGGTGCCACAAATACGCCTTTTCTTTTTGCTAAAACCTGTTAATGGCTCAACTTGTCTCCATAATTTTCTTTGAGAGAGAGATCGAAGAAAGTTATAGGGACAGACCGTACTGTATATATAGCTGGAGAAGGCTGATCCAGTGCTTAGGGCACTGGCCTAGCACATGGAAAATCTGGCTCTGCTGTGGACTTCCTGTGTGACCTGGGTCAAGCCTCTTAGTCACTCTGTGGCTCAGTTCCCCATCCGTAAAATGGGGATAATAATGCTTCCCTCCCTCGCAGGGGTGTTGTGAGGATAAATACATTAAAGACTGTGAAGTGCTTTGAGATCTACTGATGAAAAGCACCGTATAACAAATAGGCATTATTATTATCATATCTTAACTCCCACCAACATTAGGGTAAAACTTTCAAAAGAGCCTAAATCCCATTTTCAAAAGCACCCAAGTGGGGCTTATACTCCAAAGTGACTTAGGTGCTATTGAAAGTTTTACCCATAACCAGTAAGTCCCATCCCAGTGCAGTGCGGATGTGCAAAAGGAGGAAGGATTAGTGCCTGGGGATAAATGCATGGTGCCCTGTCCTTCGGGATGGCGCAGCCTATACCTATGTTACAACCTGGCCAACTCTACAAGCCTCTGTGGTGGAGATTGTGGCCCCACATCCTCCTCACCATTTTTGGAGCCATCTGTACCCCTAGGGGCATGCTTAGCAAGCAGGCCTCTGAGACGTGCTACTGCAGTTGTTTTAGTCCTTGCAGGGTGTGTTGGTGGTGCAGGAAAAATCCTGGATAAAATTTTCAAAAGCACCTAAATCCCATTTTCAAAAGTGATTTAGGCACTTAGAAGCCAAAGTCCCATTGATTCTGTAATGAGATTTAGGCTCGTCAGGGGCCAGATTTTCAAAGGTATTTAGGAGCCTAAAGAAGATAGGAATCTAGTGGGATTTTCAAAAATGCCAAGGTAGGTATCTAACTTCCACTGAAATCTGTCCCTAAGGGTGTCAGATGGCCTAGCGGATAAAGCGCCGGATTTATGGAAACCTGTGTTCCTTTTTGACTCAGCCACTGGCCTGCTCTGTGATCTGGGGCAAGTGACCTCACCTCTGTGCCTTGGTTTCCCTATCTGTAAAATGGGGATAATGGTCCTTTGTAAAGCACTTTGAGATTTACTGATGAAACCTGTTATATAAATCTAGATGGTATTATTAAACCACTTTTGAAAAGGGAACTTTGAAAAGTGTCCTAAATCACTTAGGCACTCTTGACAATGTAACCGCTTACATTTTGTCCACACTGTGCCTCTGTGGAGGTGAAATGGGGAAAAAAAACCCATCTTCCCCTCAGCGTGCACATGTGAGATGCAGTCTCGCCCGGCATCCCTCATTATAGTCTGAGAATACTTTTAATTACCTGGTAATTATACCTTTTTGCAGAATGGTGTTTATAATGAGTAAACTGAACTTGCCCCACTAAGGAACAGCAGTATACCGTTTGTACTGTACTGTAAAATATGTCAGTTCTCTTTCCCTCCATCTTCAGTATATTTTCCCCTTGCCCTATAATATTTTACAGGAAAACATAATGTAAGATTCAGCACCATGGATGACTTTCGGGCTCCACCGATGTCAGTGGAACTTTGGCATTGACTTCAGTGGTGCAAGAATTGCACTCACTGTGTTTACTGTTAATGCTGTGCGTTGAGGGACCACAAAACATCAGTTTGTTTGCCTAACAAGTGATTTCAGTGGGAGTATTTTTGAGTAAAGGCTAAAGGATAGGTTCAAAATGCTGATGTGTAATAATCAAAAAGAGACAAAGAAAGAACAGTATTTCAAGGAATCATAGATATTCAAGGCCATTCTTCTCAGCTTCGCGAAGGTGCTCTCTCTTTGTAGAGAGAAGACTCCAGAATTAGACGCTGGTGCAATCCTGAACAGGAGTTGCAACAGCATATTGTCTCAATGTTCCCAAGCATCTCTAGCCAATAGGCATACAATACCACGCACTGGACTCCCATTTAGCTCATCTAAATAGATTTTAAATGTTAGTTACCTTTTAGA